ATTTTATTTTAAATAAGAAAATAACGACAAAAAAAAAAAATTTTAATTACAAAAATGAATTTGCAAAAATGTATATTGTAATACCAATATGACAATAACAAATTCTGTTGGCAAATTTATGCTTAACGTTACAGCCGTCACTGTTCTTTTTTTTTTTTTCCATTGGTTACTGCAAAGAGATGAAAAAAGAAAGGCAAAACTGAGAGAAGAAAAGAGGGAAAAGCAAAATGCTTCAAAAAAAAAAAAAAAGTTGCTCAAATTTTTGAATACCTTATAAAAAAAAAAAAAAAAAAGTGGAACGATAAAAATCAACAATTTCATTTCCAATAATTTTTGTCCAGCCTCTTTTTTTTCCGTTGTTTTTGTCTGAACAGCTTGCTGACAGTGCGTTTTCACGTCAAAAAATCTTTTTTATTTTGTTTTCTTTTTGTTTTCTCCCTGTCTAAGATAAGCTTTGATACATGAAAAATAAAAAAAGCATTTTTTTTTTCTTCTGCATGGCTATTACTAATATTATTACTGCAGTTGTCATTGTCACTGTTATCGTCAATCAAATCACCTGTTTAATGAATATATTGCAATCTGTATTGCTGAATGGCGTCTATTGCGTTACTGAAGTGAAAGACGCTGTTCGTAGGAAATGGTTAACAAATAACTACTGATGCTTTCCATAAATTCTAAATGCAAAATTTTCAGGTTTTTTTTTGCTTATTTTAGCATGAAAAAGACGTAAGAGCAAAAAACAAAAAATCATAATAATAATAATAATAATAATAATAATAATAATAATAGCTAATAACAATAACAATAATAATAACAACAACAATAACAATAACAACAACAATAACAATATAAATAATAAAGTATTGTTTTCCTTTCATATATAAACTAATATTTTCTAGTAATAATAATAATAATAATAATAATAATTATTATTATTATTAATATAGAAACATTAAGAAAAACAATGCAGACACATCAAAAGTTACCATTTTATCAGTCAGAAAAAGGTATAGAAGTATAATACAAACATAAAGGTACGTATGTCTTTAGATTTTTATAAAAAAGATTTGTTTAACTGTAATCATTTCTAAAAAAAAATTTGTTTTTTGAAAAAGTGAATTCTGAAGAATAATGAAAAAAAAAAAGTTGACAGCAGTACAGGAAATTGTACACCACTTTTGGTCATCTATATTATAACTGATAACAACTGCTCGACAACCATCAGTTAGAATACTAAAAGTGTCAAAAATCGTGAAGATAATCAACCGTACTTCTGCTTCAGTTCTCTTTCCCATCTTCTTTTTTTTAGTTCCTTAATCCTTGACGTAAAATTGGTTATGCTGAATAGGCTTTCTGAAGAATCAGTTGCCTAAGACACCAAACCACGAAAGACAATTAGAAACAAAAACAAGAGTGAAACTAGCAATGAGAATTAAAAATAAATTAGCGTTAAGCAGAAAAAAGAAGGCTCCTAGTAGTTTGATGATGACAATCAATAGAAGAGCAAAAACTAAAAATAACAATCAGTTGTCCAATCTGCCCCTCATTTTTCTCCCTCTCTCTCTCTCTCTCTCCCCTCAATTTAACTGATAAGGTTTAAAAAAAAAAAAAACTGCTGACAACCACTAAAGGCAAAGGCCCACTCTAATGATAATTTAATAAACCAAAACAAAATATTGCTTTAAAATAATCAATTGGTCGACCATAAATTTTGCTTCCTTCGAAAAAAAAAATCGGAAAAGCATACTTAACGAGTTATACAAAAAGCAAAAGTAGGCCATAAAATATGGTGTACATCTGTTTTTACATTTTCATCAACGAAAATAAAGTAGCTCATCAGTAAAGTATTGCAAAAAAAAAAAAAAAGAAAACAAGAAACGTGAATATATTTATCTTACAGAAAAAAATTAAGAGTCACAAATAAAAAAAAAGAGATTGAAGAAAAAAAAAACAAAATAAAAAGATATGATAAAAACAGATATATATAAAAGAAAAAAAATTAAAAATAATTTTTACGCTATTTTTAACGATACAAATTGACAAATGACTTTTTGAACGCGGAAAAAATGTAAAATTTAATTTTGCAGAAAAGTTTTGTTGTCGTTCAAAAAGCGTTAAGTTTATTTGATAAACAACAATGAATACGGAAAAAGAAAAAATTGAAGAAAAGATAAAAGACGAAAAAAAACGAAGCAAAATCAAACAGCAGAACTAATCTTAAAGAATTTGTTTTCAAAGCCCAGTTTTGTAGCCCCGCCACTCTTTTCTTCCTTCCCCCGTCCCAGCCGTTCCCTCAACCTCAATCTGCGGTTTTTTTTCCTCCACTTTCTTCTTACTTTTTCCTCCCCTATTTGCTACACTTCAAAAGCTCCAATAAAGATTTTGCTACTACCAAAAAACACCATCATCATCTTATCAGATCTCGATTAGCCTCACTCAGCCCTACACGAATTTATCCAACTGACTAGGTTTTTACAGCAAAAAAAAAATATAAAAGTCTTCAAAGTTAACAAACCCATAGAAGGTTATCATTACCCCCCTAAAATGGTACGGCCTTTCAATCATTCTGTCATTCCTGTAGAACTTCTCCCTCATTTTCATCTAGTGACCCGTCCAGTTTTTTCCTCTCTATTCAACTTTATTCCTAGAATTTTAAAAAGTCCCGATTAGGTCATTGATAAAGAAGCATTATTGGCGTTCCCGTTACAGTTGTTACTTTTACTGCCTGCAAAACCGGTTGACTAGTTGTCTGGTCTTTGATCAACGAGAAAAGCAAACAGTTTTTTTGAATAGATGCTTATAACAGCACCGCAGTTAGAAGGATGAAATTTTGAATCTGTCGAATGATACATAGACTCAACTAAAACTGTTTGCTTTACTAAATTATGCACTGTTAAAGGTCTGTGCAAATACGTTTAATTTAAAAATCCAGTAACAAAAAATAATAATAATTGAACGTTTTGCGGCTATTTTTGGAAAGCTTTTTGCATTTGAAAGCTGCATCAAACACCTGATCAAATCAACAATTCATCCTCATTTTTTGACAATGCCAATAATGGTGCAATTTTTTTTACTGTTAGTTCTTTTTTCAATGCTTTATAATGTTATTTTTCAACTTTTTCTTTTTCTTCACTAGCCAAATCAATTTTCGCTTAATTTACCTCCATTTTTCCATTAAACCTCCAGCTCCAATCGAAAGTAAGAAGCAGAGAAATAGAAAGCAGAAATATTGGAATGGAGTAAAAGAGGAAGAAACGAAGAAATTATGATAAAAAGAAGGGTAATAAAAAATCCT